ATACTTATTCTGCTTTAATGTTTAACTTATGTTTCAACTGATGTGGTATGTTTTAAGGAACCATGGAGGTGCAATTGTAAGCTGCCTTGAGTCCTCAGGGTAGAGAAATGTGGGATATAAATAGGGTAAATCTGTATATATATAAATGCTCTGTTCATTTTGAGTGACATCATAACTCAAAAACCACTCGACTAATTGCCACCAAATTTGGCCATAAGACACCTACTAACCCAAGGAGTGACTATCACTATATATATAAAAAACATTGATTTTGTCATTTGGGAGTTGTAGTTGCTGGGATTTATAGTTCACCTACAATCAAAGAGCATTCTGAACTCCACCAACTGTGGAAGTGAACCAAACTTGGCACACAGGACTCCCATGACCAACAGAAAGCACAGAAGGGTTTGGTGGGCATTGACCTTGAGTTTGGGAGTTGTAGTTCACCTACATCCAGAGAGCACTGTGGACTCAAACAATGATGATCTGGACCAAACTTGGCACAAATACTCAATGCCCAAATGTGAACACTGGTGGAGTTTGGGGAAAATAGACCTTGACTTTGGGAGTTGTAGTTGCTGGGATTTACCATTCACTTACAATCAAAGAGCATTCCAAACCCCACCAATGATAGAATTAGGCCAAGCTTTCCACACAGAACCCCCATGAACAACAGTAAATACTGTGATTTCTAATGGTCTTTGGTGACTTCTCTGACTTACCCTTGCAACCCCCCCAGGGGTCCCAACCCCCAGGTTGAGAAACGGTGCCTTAAGACCATCTGGTCTAACTCCCTTCACCAGGGCAAGAAAACATAATCAAAGCCCTCCCGACAAAGAGCCATCTAGCCATAGGCAAAGATATATATAAGTCACACACAATAAGTATATGACAGATATAGTATCATAGATTTGAAAGGTACCCACAAGAAGGACAATTATATGTTGCATGTTCCAGAGGAGGCAAACTACAACAGCACTGACAAAGAAATAACAAGAAATACTGTTTACCCACAAGCATAAAGAAATTACATATATTAGACACCAAAACTTTCTCATTACTTTATTTTCCAGATCACCAGACTGGGCCACAACAACGCGTGGCAGGGGGCTACTAAATAAATAAACAATGTGAGCAAATTGCATTGTTTGCAAAATGAACGTAGTAAAGGTTTTGGCACTCTTATGTGAACTAATCCTGTGAGCAAATGCATCGTTTGTAAAATATAGGCTTTAAGACCTGTGTAATGGAGCATTTGCCCAGGATGGTCCTGCAGTTTGAACCCTATTAGTTACCATGTCCTTTCATAATCCAAAATTCAAATTTCTCCCTGGATTGGGTGTGCGATCCTCATCATGGGAAGTAGGACTTTTTTTGCACTAGGCAAGTAAACTGGAATCATAGCTGGATCGTTGCCTTTGACAATAGTTCATACCACATGATGTCACACACTTTATGATGCTGGTTGGCCTCCTTGATGTGTTTCTCCTGTTCCTCACTATTAATAGTTAAAACATGTCAATAGCTTCCGTTCCTGCAACGTTCCCATCAGTGCTCAACCCAATATGTAAACACTATCAACAATAATGCAATTGTAACAGAATAATGGGTTCATGCGGGAGAAACTGTATTAAATGTCATTTTAGGGCCCTTCCAACAGATACATATCCCAGAATATCAAGGCAGAAAATCCCACAATATTTGATTTTAACTGGGGCCCTTTCTTCACAGCTGAATAAAATCCCACATTTTCCACTTTGAACTGGGTTATATGGCAGTGTGGACTTTTGGAAATTGCAGTTTTACAAGGTCTGCCAAAGCATGCTGGGGCCTCACTGACCTACAAATCCCAGTATTCATAGTGTTGAGCCGTGCCAGTTAAAGTGATGTCAAACTGCATTAGTTCTGCAGTGTAAATGCACCACCCAGGGACTTGGAAAAGGCCAACTGGCTCCCAGCTGCTTGTAATTTTACCCACTGGATGCCACTCCTCTTTGGGATGATCCAGGGGAATCTCCCCAGCTCCAGCCCATTACCAAATGCAATTTCATGGCTCCGAGAGGAGAGGCTGGTTGGGATTGGCAATGGCCTTCCTCTGTTTACTTTGTCCATCTGCCTCATCTATCCGTTCCACATTCCTCTCCCGGAGGGTTGAGATGCCAACTGCAAGCCACCCCCTCGGCGTTGCAAGAAATAACTGCATTGTTCTCTTGTTGGGCCCACTTGCGGGTAGGAAAATGCCACCCAGATGGGCACAGCTGCTGTGGAAAGTGGAAAGAAGGCGCCCGAGAAAAAGGAAAAACCAAGAGGCATCCCTGCTTGGATAGCAGGCATCATCTCTCTCCGTGTGGGACAAAGCATCTTTGCTCCTGTTGGTTTAAGTGAATTCAAATTCAATAGCCCATGAACCACCTCTCGAAGTGAAATTAAAACTTAAACTAAACTATGTTCTGACCAGTTTCCATATGACTGAATTTCAACCCACCAAAACAACAGCAGCTCTTCCCTACTGAAAGGGAAGCCACATTCGAGCTCAGTTCTCTAGTTTGGCATTGCAAAGAAACAAGTGGGAAGGAGCGCACTCTTAGTTTCTGTCGAAGTTCTCCTTCTCCAGAGCAAAAAAGTAATTTTCTCTAATTTTGAATTTACAGAGAGACTATGGGCCCTTCCAGACAGGCCCGATATCCCAGGATATAATCCCAGGTTTTCTGTTTTAAACTGGATTATATGAGTACACACTGCCAGATAACCTGGGATAAACAGAAATCCTGGGATCACATCTTGGGATGTAGTGCCTGTCTGGAAGGGCCCTATAACACTATCAGCATAACACCATTTTTTTTCCTGGGTTAGAAATGTCATTTCCTAATTGGTTCTGTCATAAAACATGGGAAAAGATTATCATTTTTTTAAAACTTTGTTTTTGTGGGACATCCTGCAGCACTGTTGGCTAAAGTTTTTCAATTAATGCCTCATAGAGTCTCAACCAATTTAATGGCAGCCACAAAAATGAAGTTACTGAAAACTACTTTCAAAGGAAGTACAGCACAATTAAACAGGAAATAATAAAATAATAATAATAATAATAATAATAATAATAATAACTTTTTTTTATACTCCGCCTCCATTTCCCCAAGGGACTCAGGGCGGCTTACAAAGGAACAAGCCCAGGGAGCACAAAGTTAAAAACATACCACAGTAAGATAGAAATAAATAAAAATTAGAAGGTAAATAAATAAAATAAAAAGTAAATAAAAAATAAACAGAAAGTAAATAAATAAAATATAAAGTAAATAAATAAAATAAAAAGTAAACAAATAAAATAAAATAGAAAGTAAATAAAATAAAATAGAAAGTAAATAAATAAAAATTAGAAGGTAAATAAATAAAATAAAAAGTAAATAAAAAATAAACAGAAAGTAAATAAATAAAATATAAAGTAAAT